AACAATCCATCCTTCCCACTACGTCAGAAGAATCTTCCTTATGTATAGAGATGGGACTCAGCAATGATCAAGACATTCCTCTGCTCACAAGTCTGCAGTGGTTCTTTATTGCCAACCAAAAAACATACAATCTCCTGGGCCTGGCATTCAAAGCTCTGTCTATTATAGTAATAGTCCCCAAACAGGTCACAGTATTGAGGCCACATTCTCTATTATGGAAATAATAGAAAATATTACAGGTCTCTTTTATAAAAAAATCTACAATATGATGTAATAAAATGATATAATATGATATAATAAAATAAAATTATATAACACAATATAATATAATATAAATTGTAAGCCTCTTCTTATTCAAAACTCTGGTCTCCAACAAGTCAAAGGAACTGAATCAGGAAGGGATAGCTTTCTCTTTATTAACAGGACAAGACCTTTTTGATTGTTAACTGAGTCCTTTGCTGTCAAACTTTGGAATGTAGATAAGGTCTCTTCACCTCATCCTCAGTGGGAGGAGCTGAGAAACATCCTTTAGTCCAAACAAGGCACATGGCAAGTACTATGTGACCTCGTTTTTATTGGAGGGAATTTGTAGGGCTTTATACAGGTCAGCTAGAGTCTCTACCTTTAACCTTGCTTTAAAAAAATTCTCTCTCTATTCCTTTCTATTCAGGTATGAAAAAGACTTATATCAGGCTTTGGGAGCTGCTCTGAACTAGCTCTCTCCTTTTCTGAAGGACGGGTCCTTGGGAAGCTTAGAAGACCTCTCACTATAGAGGTGGCAGAAGCTGATTGAAGGCAGGGGTTTTGGAATGTAAAGGAGTAACCAGAAATCTTTTGGCTTCCATCTCTGTCTCTCTCTGTCTCTCTCTGTCTCTCTCTGTCTCTCTCTGTCTCTCTCTCTCTGTCTTTTTCTCTGTCTCTACTAGGAGTTGGGAATTTCATGTGGCTTTATGTCCAGGCAGACACTATTGATTCAACAACATGTATTAGTACCCTGCACTCTTCTTTCCAGGAATCATCGTGTCATCTTTTTAGGATTATGGTTAAGGATTCTACTTTTGTTTCATAGGAGTCATTGTTCATAGAGGTATGTGTTTGTTACTGAGCTAATAGTTTCCCCTTAAAGTTTATGACCTTGGTGATACCTTCGTTAGAATGTTATTTATTTTCTCTGATTGTGCTGATAATTCCCACTAATTTTTTCTTTCTCTTGAGCAAAATTATGCATAAATTTTGTGGTGTTTAGCTTTCCCAGACATGTACTTGTCCACTATCTAGATTCCAAAACTGGCAGTCCCAAAGAAATCTGAGGTGCAGACTCCTAGATAATGTTTCCTTCCTCCATTGATACTCATCCTGTTGAACAAATCAAATTATAAACAAATTTCTGTGTGTAGTGAATGTCTTTTTTAAATATATGATTATATTTATATATTATTCCATAGCCTTGGAAGTGTAATGGAGTCAGGAAGTGGTACAATTTATTCTGTGATCACACTAACATTTCAGTGCAACATGGAATCACAGGACAAACACCATCGGCATAAAAGGGCGAAGCCTCAGGGAAGCAGATTGCTTCAGATAGTTGTATTCAGACAGATACGGCCTCCCTGGTAGTATGCCTCCTAATTGCCATTTGAAACACTAATTTGAAATATCTGCTCCAGCTCTCAGCTTCTCATTCCTGTCTCAATGTTTTGAATCTATTAGTCTCAAGAAACTCTGATTCCTGCCTGGGCCCGGCCATTCATTTATAAGAGGTGGCATTGTACAGTGGATTTGCGAGTCCAGAAATCTGAATTTGAATCCTCTCTCTGAAACTTGCCATGTAACCATAAACAAGCTATTCAGTCTTCATATCTGTTTCCTCACATGTAAAACGAGGGTTGTAAATCATTCCTTCCCTTCATCACAGGGTGGTTGTGAGCGAAGAAGTGTTTTGTAAACCTTAGTGTATTATTTATGTATATGTGTTATGATTATAAATACATGACATATTAACACATAATAGCATAATAACTTAGAAAGCAGTGGTGCAATGGAAAGATCCTTGGGGTGGATTAAATCCTATTCTGAGAATTTGAGAAGGGAAAAGGAAGGTGGAGAAAAGGAATATGTTGTATAGAATGATGCAAGAAGGGGGTGGAACTTACTATTTCTCATACTTGGGGTCTAAAAAGATATACAAACATGGAGGATGGTGGGGACGGGACAGGAGGACATCAGATGAACATTGCTCACATTAAATTGACAAAGGAAGGTTGAAAACAAATACATAGTTTTGTATAATAATAGAACAAACTCAACAGGGAAACAAGTGGGGATAGGAGGCCACATTATAGGGAAAATAATACCCAGGAACAGTCATAAGTAAAACAAATGCCCTGATTCTGATGGGGGAATTAAAAGGAGGGGGAATAAAGAACTAATATAGGGGGTGCTTTATGTTGTCTTTTAGATAATTGGGAAATGAATGAACAAATTGTGTTATATGAATGTAATGGAATATTATTATTTGGTAAAAATAAGAATTCTTATTCTGTAAGAAGTATCATTATTCTTTAAGAAATGATGAAAGAGACAATTGTAGAGAATCCTAGGTAGTATAAACTGAAGCAAAGTAAAATGAAAAGATCCCAGAAACATTTTATATAAGGACAGCACCATTATAAAGAAAAACAGCTTTGAAAGACTTAAAAGACTGGTTAATGCAATATGGTCAATCAAGTTTCCAGAGGTTACATAATGAAGCATATTACTTACTTTCATACAAGGAGGTGATGGACACACAGTACAGAAACATACATTTTTAGACATGACTAATGTGTGGATTTGTTTTGCTTAACTATGCTATTTGTAAAAGGGCTGTTATTTTCTTTCTCTTGTTTTTTATTTGGTAGAGAGAAGTTCAGAAGGAGGTTAGCAATAGTGATGCCAAGTAAAAGAAGACCATGGAAATTTTTTTAAATGCGCAGAGAAAGAAGAAAGCTCAGAAGAAAGCACATAAACGTGCTTTGTTGTAAAAGTAAAGTGCAGAATTTATTATGTACTTTTTTTTAAAAAAAAATCAAGCAGTATGGAATGGAGAACCATGGTTTAATTAGAATCTGCTTCTTGCATTGTTGTGTGCATAAAAATGATCTTTTTATATTAAAGTTCAGAATGAAAAAGTTTTTTTTAAAATAAAGTTATGAGAGTTTTTATTTTTTTAAATGTCTTCCTGTAGGTTATGGGCAATGTCCCAGAGGAGACTTTGCTACACTGTAGAGGATTTTAAGAGAATGTCGTTGCATGACAATAAATCACTCTGGCGATTGAGGAATGGTGTTATATAGGTGTGAATATGTGTGGGTGGAGTCAAGTTAGAAAACCAAGACAGAGGACTGTCACAATGTTTTGAAACATTACAGCTTAGAAGAGACTTTAAGAGATCACATTGGAAAGATTTTGAAACTATAAATTACAACTAAGGTCATCTATGAATAGTTGCCTGCCTGGAATACCCCACCTATTCAAGGTAATTCAGCACCAATGGAAACAATTGCTATTATAATAGAAAAGTATAAAACCAAGCTACAGAAAACATATCTTCCCTCCCCACCACCAACCCATTTCTTGTCACAATTTCATGTTAAAGGAAAGGAGGGCATAAGGAAACAAGCATTTATGTAGGGCTTATTACGTGCTAGGCACTGTGCTAAGCGCTTTTCACAAAGATTGTCTCATATGATCCTCACAACAATTCTTCAAGGTAGATGCTGTCTTTATTCCCATTTTACATTTGAGGAAACTGAGGCATACAGAGGTTAAGTGACTTGTCTAGGGTCACACAGTTAGTAAATGTCTGAGACTAGATTTGAACTCAGGTCTTCCTGACTACAGGTCCAGCACTCTATCCACTGTGCTACCAGCTTCCTCTAACAGAGGAAATAAAGAAAACAAAACAGAACAACTTTATTTCCCTTAGTTTTAGGAGAATATGGGGCCATATGACTTGTGCATCTATAGCTCCAAAAATGCAACTTCAATTATTTGCCAAAGCCCATCCAGGCAGATCTGTAACTCATTTACTGACAATGCCTCTTCCGTGAAACAATACAATCCTCTTTATTTAAGAAGTGAGTGAGTATGTCTGGAATTCTTTATGAAGGGTGTTTTAATTCCTACCTAAAGTTTGGAGACAGTCTACAAAGACCCTAGGACATTGATGCCCAAGATTTTAAAGGATGCACTACCTTTTTGGAAACAACAAACATCTAAGGAAACATTAGACTGCCAACCAACTCCTGGATGGGCGTCATCAAAAATCAAAAGAAAGATTTATAACCACTTCAATTGATTTGGGGAAGCTTTGCAGTGTCAATGATTACGATTTAAAGCAGCAACTCATTAAACAAAATTGACATATTTTTTATGCATTTCTAAATATCTCCTAACCACTTCTACATCCATCAATCCATTCTTCATAATAAAAAATAAAAGAGAGGGAAAAAACAGTGTGGCAAAGACAACCAAAACATAAATAGATGTCTGGTACTATCTTTAATATTCCACACCCATAGCTCCCCACTACTGAAAAGGAATGAGAGAAATGTATTTTCTGAACCCTTCTTAAAGTCAATCTTAACCATTATCATTACAGAGCATTCAGTTTCCTGTTTGGTTCTTTCAACTTACATAGTTGTTACCATTGCATACATGGTTTTCCTGGCTCTTATTTCCCTCTGAATCTATTAAGGTAGGTAAAACATAGTCTGCAGCAAAACTGTTACTACTAAAAGAACTAACACCTTAAAATCTACAAACTGAAGCTTCCTCCTTCTTTTTCCTTTCTTCTTTCTTCCTACTCCTCTTTCTCGTTCTCCTCTTGTCCTCCCCCTCTCCACCCCTTACACTCTTGAGCTGTTGAGACCAGCATTAGGCATTTTACAACGCTGCAGATACAGTCTGGGTTGGGAAACATGGACTTGGGGTATAGCAGATTTAGCAATTCATCTTACCTCACATTAATGTCAGATTCATCCATCACAGGAAATAGGCATGGGTAGGCTGGTTTTCAGTGCCCACAGAAGGTATCTGGTCCTGCAATGGAAACAAACATGATGCTTGGAGACTAAAAAGCTCTCTAGACAGAAAGGCCGTGGGTTGTATTGGAAAGAGCCTGCTTGGGCTTGGGTTCAAATGCTGGCTTTGCTACCTAGCCAAGGTAAGATATTCCTAGATTCCATGACCATGTGCTTTCCTGTATATAACACTCTGCCTTTCAGGAGGGGAAAGAGTCCTGAATACATAATCAGAAAATAGAGTTTGAGACTGACTAGCTGAATGATTTCTAATGTTTTTTTTTTCCAGTTTACATTTCTTTTATGACATACTTTACACATCTCCTGCACAATCCCAGGTCTATAATGTGCTCCAGCCAAGTCACACCCACTGAGGGTGTGCAGCCCTTTGGGGGATACTCAAATTCAGTCATTCAGGGGCCAAAGCGTTCCATAATTTGAAGTTGTACAACAGCATGGGCCTTTGTTTCAGGGAGAAGCTTGGGGTTATTAAAAGTACTTTCCAGTTTCCCCCAAGGCAATGCAGTCTGCTCTCTTCCTCCTGACATTTAGAGAGCAATTAAATATTTGCAAGATACTTTATATATATTGTCTCACTTGATCCTCACAACAACCCTGTGGAATAGGTGCTAAGGTCTTTTCTTACCATTTTACAGATGAGAAAACTGAGATTCAGAGAAGTTAAGTGGTTTGATCACAGTCACACAGCCAGTAGGCATCAATGAAGTATTGAAACTCAGGTTTATTTCATTACAAGTTTCTATACAATCAATCAATCAAAAATCAACAAATATTTATTAGCAGCTTTTAAAATTGCTTTGAAAAATAATTTTTAAAAACAAGCAATTTATCAACAGCTGTTAAAGGTCTTTAGGTGCTATGTGCTAAGTGCTAGCGATACAAGGAAGAAGTAAAAACACTCCCTGTCTTCATAGAATTTATATCTTAATGAGGGAGACAACATGTATACAAATAAGCACAAAGAAGATACATACAGAGTACACAGAAAGTTAGAGACAGAAGGGGGAAAGTCTTCCTGTAGAAAAGGAGGTGCTTCATTTGTGCTTGCTGCCCCTAGGGGACGCAGTGGATAAGTGCTGGACCTGGAGTCCAGAAGACCTGAGTTCAAATACATCATCAGACTGGTACTAGCTTATGCTGGGCAAATCACTTAAGCTCCCTGAACCCCAGTTTCCTCATCTGTAAAATGGGAATAATAATAGCCTCAGGGTTATTGTGAGGGTAAAATGAGATAATATTTGTAAACCATTAATTAGAAATAACAATGGATTGGGAGCCAGAAGACCTAAGATCAAGTTCCTTATCCGGTACTTACTATGACCTTGGCCAAGTCACTGAAATTATCTGTGCCTCAGTTTCTTCATCTTTAAAATAGAGTGAGGGTCTGATAGGTCAGACTTGATTCTATCCAAGATTTCCTCTAGCTTTTATGGTGCCATATTTCTAGGACCTTCTATGGCTTATTAGCTTTATTAATATTGGCAAATCTCTCTGAATCTCAGTTTCCTCTGTAAAATGGGCCCAATAACCTTTACATTCCATATCTTTCAGTGATGTTGTGTTAAAAGTGTTTTGTAAATATTAAAGCATTATAAAAATATACTGCTATGGCTATTGTTATTATTATCCTAATTTCAACTGCATCATCTGTCTCTAAAGTGGGGCCAATAATCTGGTATCCAAGTAGAGCGCTGGCCCTGGAGGTTCATCTTCCTGAGTTCAATCTAGACTCAGATACTTACTAGCTGTGTGACCCTGTGCAAGTCACTTACCCCTGTGTGCCTTAGTTTCCTCATCTGTAAAATGAGTTGTAGAAGGAAATGGCAAATCACTTTAGTGTCTCTGCCAAGAAAACCCCAAATGGAGTCATGAAGAGTCAGACAGGACTGAAATAACTGAACAAACTTCCCAAGAAGGTTAAAAAGCTAAAACTAAAACAATTTGTAAAGTACAAAGTGTTATGTGTAATTTTTATTAGAAATGCCAAGAGGATGGTGAACTTAGTTCTTGATATAAAAGGAGACCTATAATCAGTCAATTAACAATCATTTACTGAGTACTCACTTTGAGAGAGGTACTGAACTAAACACTAGATTACTAAAATGAAGTTGAAATGCTCCCTGGACTTGGGAGGAGGGGGCAGAAGATAAGGTCACGGATTTAGATTTAGAGCTAGTTGAATCCTTACTGACTATCCACACAATTCCCTCATTTTATAGCAGAGGATCATGGGACCCAAAGGGTTTATTTAAGTAATTTGCCTAAAGTCACATAAATAAGTGGCAGAATCAGAATTTGGACTCCGGTCTTTTGCCTCCAAAAGGAATCTTGAACTTAAAACTTCATTAAAGTGCTTATCTGCTCAACCCCAATTAGCTTAAGAGGTAAACATTCCAGTCAAGTTTATAAGCCTTCCTAGGCATTTAATTTTTGTTGAATTTGCTTTTATTAAGAACCTACTATTGGCAGTGGGCTGTGCTCAGTGTGAGATAAATACAAAGAAGGATACACTAGAGGGTGAAGCCATGCTGATGGAGAAAAGACAGGGACTTGCCAGAGTGCTCCCAAATTCCCCTCCAAATAGCTTTAAATAATGCCTCGAAATAAATTCTAGAGTAGCAAAACCCACAAAAAGCTGGGGTGAAATAATCTTCCAGCCCAACACGACTTAAAAGGTTAGCAGGAAAGGTCTATCACATTAGAGTGAGAGTGGAGCACAGACTACACCAGGGCAGGTGGGGCCCCAGCAAACCAAGAACAGGCCCTGGGCCCAGCTGAATTAAAAAGTGACAGTAGCTGCTTCCAAAGGTCTCAGCCCACAGAGAGTTAGGGGATTACAATTGGTCAGAAGGAAAATACACAGGTCTTTTTGCTGGCACTGGGTGCAGGACTCTGCTGCATTGTCCATACTCTGATCTGGGTTGCAGTCCCAGGGCAAAGAGGAGCACTTGCACATCAGAGCTTGTGGCCACAGGGGAGTGGGGACCCTGGTCATGGTTCTAGGGCAGAAGAGAGTTCTTGTGGTCATTCAAAGACCAGAGCAACAAGCCAGGGGAATAAAAAAAGAGAAGAAAATGTGAAATATCTCATTTGAAAACAACTGACCAGGAAAATAGATTGAGGAGAGATAATTTAAAAATTGTAGTACTACCTAAAAGTCATGATAAAAAACAAAGAACCTAGACATCATCTTTCAAGAAATTATAAGGGAAAACTTCCCTGATAGCCTAGAAGAAGAGAGGAAAATAGAAATTGAAAGAATCCACCAATCACCTCCTGAAAGAGATCCCCAAATGAAAACTCCCAGGAATATTATAGCCAAATTCCAGAGTTCCCAGGTCAAGGAGAAAATATTGCAGGTACCCAGAAAGAACCAATCCAAAAATTATGAAGCCACAGTCAGGATAACACAAAATTTAGCAACTTGCACATTAAAGGTTCACAATAGAGGGATCTGAATCTTTGTTTTCTTGACTCCAAGAACAGTATTTAATCCACTATGCCAGGTTGTTGCCATAAAGCCTCTTTAGGAAGTCCTCAGGGCCTCTGATGATGGGAAACCCCTAGGCTTCGGGTAGGTAGGGGAGGAATGGGGAAATAAGACACAAACAAAAAAAAAAGCTTGAGAAAGAACAAAATAAACAATCTGGAAGTACTTTCAGTGAATGTAATTGGAAAGAATCCTTGACACTTGAACATTTACTATATATGTTACCCCAGGAAAGTCATGCAGCAGGATCTCAAATTTACAGCTGGAATGGGCTTTGGGAGTCATCTAATCTTAACATTCTCCCATTTTACAGATGAGTAAAATGAGGCCCAGAGAAGTGAGAAGGGATTTGCCCAAGGCTCCTCAGTTGGTAAGTAACACAGCCAGGGATATGGTCCAAGGGCATCAGAGGACCCAGGTCCTTGTTCTTCTGTTCGTTTACTGTGTGACTCTCTAGGCAGCAGTTTCATTGTCTGCCAAACGAGAACACTGGCCTTGATGGTTTCAAAGCTCCCTTCCAGAGCTGGCATTTTGTAATTTGAATGCTCCAAATCTACAACTCTCTCTACTCTCTCTATGCTTCCCCCCCACCCCCAGGAGCTGTTCTACACACCTAGCCCTGAGAAAAGGTTCCATATCTATTGATTTAGGCAGATGGTTTGGAGAAGAGAGCTCTTCAAATTCTACCAGACATACTTAATGTTATCTCTGAAAAACTAGATCTTGCCAGTGATGTGAATATTAGAAAGAACCCTAGACTTGGGAGCAGCAGATCTGGGGGTGAAGTCTTAGTTATTGATGATGTACTTAAGTGAGCTGGGTATATCGCTTCCCCTGAGTTTCAGCCTTTCCATCCGGAAAATGAGGCTAACGATGCTTTTACTCCCTGAATCCCAGGGTCAACTGTATAGCTTCAATAACCTAATGGAAGTGAAAAGCGCTTTATTGCCAGTAAATATTGCACAAATGTTGCATCTTATCATTTTCTCTGGCTGTCTCCCATACTCTGCTCTCCCTCCTCAACTCCACCTACTGACTTTCCTGTCTTCCTTTAAATCCCAGCTAAAATCCCATCAACCCTCTTAATTCCAGTGCCTTCCCTCTTTTAATTATTACCTATTTATCTCACATATAGCTTGTTGGTATATATTTCTTTGAATGTTGTAACCCCTTGCGGAGAGGGACTGCCTTTTATCTCTTCTTGTATCCTTAGCATAGCACAGTGCCTGGCACATGGCAGGTGCTTAATAAGTATTTATTAATTGATATTATCTTTCCAAATGGCCTTACAGCTTTAAAGTAGCAGTTTCCAGATTCAGGAAAAATGATTTTGAGACAAGAGTTTTTTCCTCAAATCTTTCCCTCTTCCTAGAGGTATAATGGGGATGGGGAGGGGGAATGACTGACCAAGAGGGCCAAGTCCTTAGAGAAGGGGCTTTTATCCTTTTTCTGTATCTTTGACTCCTTTGGCAGTCTGGTGAAAACCTATGGGCCCCATCTCAGAATAA